GTAATGTACAGCATGCATTGCATATTGTTATCAATCTTACTGTATTCCTTAGCATTCACTATTTGCACAGTGTATTCATTGTATTATATGTAGATATCCAGCTGGGCAGATAATTATGTTAAATGATTTGGAAATCTGCCAAAGTGGGAATGGAGAACAAAGCAAATGGCTGCAGAAATATTCAGAAATATTTGAAAACTATTTCCCTGTTGAGGAAAACCTCAGGCTCTTATTGTCACTTCTTAACACAATTCAGGGTGGTGTGGTACCTTTAATGGATCGCTCAACAAAAACAAGGCGAGCTTTTGAGTTCTGCTAGGTTACTTTCCCATAGAACAAAAGGAAGACAATATTTTTTGTGTTTTGTTTTGTTTTTCAAAATAATTGTACAAATCAGATTCCATAAATAACGATAACACGGTTTCTGTGTCTCTCCAGTTTGCAAAGAGGTACAAGGTAAATTCTTTCTGCTGGGATAGACTACACCACCTAAATCCATTCAGTATGTGATTTGTAATAAGATGTCATGCTATCCTTAAAATCTGCAGAATCCTGTTGCAAGGCCGTCCTCAGAGTCTACCATTTGTGTTTGTGCATAGGAGGCTGGGTTAACTGAACTCCCCTCCCCCAATGTGAGAAACACATCTTAGAGACAAGACTTATGTGACTTTTTTTTTATTGTCCAGTGAATCCTCCAGGAGAGGATTCAGTCAGTGTACATGCAAGCACAGAAGCACACACACACACGTGCGTGCTCTCACACAAAATGGCCTGAAGTGGTACAGTCCAGAAAAAACACCACATTCCCTTTGATTCTCTTGCTTCTAGAAACCAGTGTATATCTGAGCTTGGAAGTAACCTGTTAAAATTCTGTTAAGATTAAAATCACTCCTTTTCCTTCAAGTGAGAGGGAAAGCACCAATATATTTAACACTTTTAAAAACACTCCCTAAAAGTAATGTTACCACAATTTCTATGCATTAAAAGTGTTACTAGGGCTGTGTCTTTGTGGCCATAATCATCCTCCATGGAAATAAGGTCCTCATGCACCATCCCATTAAAAAAACCTACCTCTATACAAGTGATTCTTTACCCTGGTACTTCAGATTTTTCTGGACTACATTTCTCAAAAGCCCAAACCAGCACCACCAAACGCAGAATTTCTGGACTTTCATGGCCTATGAAATCATTCACAGTTGTACGAGTGCAATTAAAGGGGGGGAAGCTTCATGGAGGGGTATGTTGCTCCATTAGCATGAAGTGTGCATAAAGATGACAGCTTGGGTCCTCTTCTTTCAAAAAGATTGTCAGAGAACATGCTGGGTATGTGAAACTCTTGAATGCTCAGTAGTATTAGTATTAGTATTAGTATTAGTATTAGTATTAGTATTAGTATTAGTATTAGTATTAGTATTATTATTAGTATTATTATTATTATTAGTAGTAGTAGTAGTAGTAGTAGTAGTAGTAGTAGTAGTAGTAGTAGTGTTGTTATTGTTCTTGTTGTTGTTCTTGTTCTTGTTATTATTATTATTAGCACGAAGCATGGAATCATTTATCCCTGACCCTTTCATTTCTTCTTTCATTTTAAGTGGCATAGCCAACCATCTGGTTTTGGGGTCTTTTGTTTCTGTTTTACTGCCTTCAGTGAGTTTTGATTTGTTTTTAGTGTTTGTGTTACATGTGCATGAATACTGGGAGGGAAAGAAAGAAAAGGCTTGAAGCCTTCTTTTTAGCCTCTGCCACAATGCATGCCAAAGCTGAAGTGTGATTCAGGAGAGGTGAGAGGTGGCAGTGATTGTTTTTCTTGGACTGCCTTGAATTTGGCCAAAATAGCCAAAAAGTCTGTTGCTATGACCACAATGGCAACAGGCGGATAATGTACCTGTCATTTGTGTTTCATCTTGAGTATCTGTTAACAAACCAGGAGCCAATGGTAACGGCCTATCGTAGGCTGCCCATCTGTCTGTCAGCCATGTTTCTTCTTGAAAGGGAAGCTACACTTGCACCTGGGAAGGAAGGCAAGCAAAGGAGAGATTACTTAGAGGGAATACACCTATCTGTTGTCCAAACACCAGAGAAGTGGCTACCTAAGTGTGCAGAAATAAACAACTAGCTGAGAACATCGCTGCCCAGAATGGCTGCTAACAAAAGCTGATGAAGAATACACTTGAAGGACTATAAAAGAATTTGAGTGAGAGGAGAGAACTGTGGAAGATCTGTCTGGACACTCAAGTTGACTTCTGTTTTCCAGACCACATATAGGAAGACTCAAGACAATCCAAAACAGTGTGTTGATTTCTAGAAAGGTGATTTCACTTGTACAACACAAATACTATTGATTTTTCCCCAATCCTAAATGTCCCTTTTTAAAAATCCCATTAAAAAAAAGAAAGTCTAGGCTTTCGTTCCTGTATTTCAGGAACTGGCTTTCAAACCTTACTCACCTCCATATCTAATAGATAGGTTATATGATTGAGGGGGCAACTCCTTTATCCATTTTAATAGGAGGGTTCAGTGGGGAAATTCCAAGGTATTCCGCCTAATTTTGCTGTTGCATGACCAGCTTTTCTTTCCCTGACAACTTAGAACCATTTGGCATGAAGGTACTCATGAGGTGAAACACAGCGAAGGAGTGGAACAATGCTCTCTGATACTGCACATGTTCTGGACGTTCAGTTATAGCAGTGTTGAGAAAATGTAATTCTACTTCGAAGTGGCTTTTCATTGCTAATCCATAGTCTGGCTTCACACAACTGTATTTCTGCTAGTAAAAACATCATCATTGTCTTGCAGCTCTCTGCTGATGGGCTTTGGTGTTTACCAGATATCAAGCCACCAAATGGTGGTTTCTTGGTGCTTAGCCCATAGCTCTATGCCTCCTCAGAAACTGGATGAGCACTGGAATCTTTCTGTGCCATCTGTGCTGGAAACCATGGGATATATAATGTTGCCGGCAACTCCTTTATCCATTTTAATAGGAGGTTATTCTGCCTTATTTTGCTGTGGCATGACCAGCTTTTCTTTCCCTGACAACTTAGAACCATTTGGCATGAAGGTACTCATGAGGTGAAACACAGCGAAGGAGTGGAACAATGCTCTCTGATGTAGTTTATATACACTGGTGGCAGAAGTGGCAATTTATTGAGAAATGAGTGAGAGACAAAAGGACTGTGTGAATGAGGCGGAGCAGGTCTTCTCATTGACAAATCCGACTTGTGGCCTTAGTGTTGAGAAAATGTAATTCTACTTCGAAGTGGCTTTTCATTGCTAATCCATAGTCTGGCTTCACACAACTGTATTTCTGCTAGTAAAAACATCATCATTGTCTTGCAGCTCTCTGCTGATGGGCTTTGGTGTTTACCAGATATCAAGCCACCAAATGGTGGTTTCTTGGTGCTTAGCCCATAGCTCTATGCCTCCTCAGAAACTGGATGAGCACTGGAATCTTTCTGTGCCATCTGTGCTGGAAACCATGGGATATATAATGTTGCCATGTAGTTTATATACACTGGTGGCAGAAGTGGCAATTTATTGAGAAATGAGTGAGAGACAAAAGGACTGTGTGAATGAGGCGGAGCAGGTCTTCTCATTGACAAATCCGACTTGTGGCTTTATACAGTAGTTGATAGCCCTATCTATTACATAGGAATGAGTTAGATCTCATATGATTGACTACCACAGTGATTTGGGATAATGAAGAAGGATGAAAAACGTTGAATTATGTGGGATTGTCCATCACAAACAGGCAGGTATTCTGGATGTAGAAATAGTTTTATTAATGAGGTGTGTTGGGGATGTTTGAAAATATATAGCTCCTTTTAGTCACTTTATATTCAACTCAATGTTTGTTTGTTTGTTGTTTGTTTGTTTATTGCCATTAGTTAACTTTATAATGTGTCATAGTTTTGTATAAGAGGTCAGATTCACATGAGACAGGGTAATGGCTGTTTTGTGCTATGACCTCACTTTATTTACAGTTTGAGCAGTGAGTTCCTGTGTTTATGGTGTTATGGAATGTTGATCATGCCCTTTAGTTAATCAATGCCTCTTTTTAATGCACTGTAGCCCATCATTTTTATACAGATCATTTTCAACCCCTTTTCGCTCACTGTTTTATCTGAGCTCAGCAGTAAGAGTGACGCAAGGCTGGAAAACTGGCAGGTGTTCAGAACAATATTTCATGAATAAATTACTGTTAAGCAAAAAGCAGATGTACTCTGAAAAAAATTGACAACTGGCATATCAGCAAATAAAATTGCTTTCACTCTTCACTTTCCTATTAGAAAGGGAAGGGAACATTACACCTTCTGCATGTTTTGTATTTTAACTCTCATAATAATTTAAGATTGACTTGGATAGCTCTTTGGAGAGTTGAAGTCCATAAAACTCAAACTTAATTACTGTGCAGATATTGCAGACCCCCTTAGCTTTTTGTTGTTGTTTAGTCGTTAAGTCATATCTGACTCTTCGTGACCCCATGGACCAGAGCACGCAAGGCCCTCCTGTCTTCCACTGCCTCCCAGAGTTGGGTCAAATTCATGTTGGTCGCTTTGATGACCCTGTCCAACCAATCTCGTCCTCTGTCGTCCCCTTCTCTTGCCTTCACACTTTCCCAACATCAAGGGCTTTTCCAGGGAGTCTTCTCTTCTCATGAGATGGCCAAAGTTGTGGCTGTATGCACCATGACTTACATGCTTATTGTCATGTACTCATGTTGTATTACTTTATGTACCACGTTGATGTCCTCGTGCGGTTTTTGCTGGCCAGATTACATTCGACGCCCTATTGGTTCAGACCATTTGGTTATGTAACCTACAGTTATGTTATGTAACTTACAACACAATAAAAGGAGGTGCCAGGCATTGCTGAGGCAGAGTGAACAGAGAGTGAACAGAGTGAACAGTGATGAGTGTTCCTGTACTTCAGTCGATGATCCTGAGCACACTTTGAACCTGATTACTCGACTGCAGTCTCCTTCATTTCAGAGATCTCTCCCT